CACATATCATTTTATAAAATATGCATTATACAGTTTTTTTAATATGCATTATACAGTATATACTATACTACGCATTATCAATATATATACTAATATTCAAGGGATTTCATGGTGATAGAAAACCTGTAACTATTCGGGAATTTTAACATAATTTGGCCTGGAAATATCAGACATTTTAATATAATCATAATATTAATATATGATTATGATTAATAGATTTTGTTTAATATTAATACTTTTTCCCCCCAAGTTTTAAAGATTACTAAATCCAAATTTTAGATGACTAAAGTTATTCTTGAAATGCAACAAAATAATTTTCAAAAATTTTCAAATAACATCACAAACAACTGGAAAATTCTGTGAAATTAATTGCATTCCAAACATAGCCAATGTGTCATTTCTTAACATTTAGACTTCTGAATATAAAGGTCTTTAGACAAATTTAGATGGCTGATAAATGCTAAATTACACTATTTCTAAGATTGAAATTAATTGGACAACCTTAAACATGCAACTTAGTGCAGTCATGTAATGAAGTAGTTTACTACAATTGAAAATGTTAATGGTTGCATTCTGCATTTTTTTTTAAATAGCATGCATATACAATATGTACTTGTCACTAAGCATTATGCTAATATATAATATATAGAAATGTTATATAAATTACATATAATATATAAATTCTCTATAAATGATCTTATCACAAATTACTGAATAATTCAGTTAAATGAATTGCATACCCAATGACAGATTTGTCCGTTTTGTTTCCCAGTAGCCCTAGAGCGGCTGAGTCTGCAGATGAGGTGGCGGGCAGCTCTCAGCAAGGTGACGATAAAGACAAACGGACCAAGAGGCTGGATGGAGAAGAGGGTGAGCGGTCTGGAAGGAGCAGTCCTGAGGAGAGGAAGGGAGGGGAGGTGGAGGAGGGAGAGAAAGATGAAGCACCGGAGGCTGTGTTAACAGAGGAGGATCTGATCCAGCAGAGTCAGGCAGAGTACGACTCCGGCCGCTACAGTCCCACCCTCCTGCAGCCCTCAGAGTTACCGCTGGACACGCACATCATCAACGTGGAGGAGGACCTGCAGAGACTCGTGCTGGCCCGGACACAGCTGCAGGTGACCGGTGCGTATCGCTCTGCTGCTTAGAACCATAGTGAAATTACACACACCACATGCATTAAGATTTCAGTAGTAGATGTGCAGCAGGAAAAAAATGTCAGATATGAAATATGAAAAATAATGTGCACTTTCATTGTTTGAAACTTTTTATAGATATTGTATAGAAAGATGTTTTTTTTTTCTTTTACCTACTCTATTTCCTACTTTTTCTGCGTTGTTTAACAAAAAAATGGGCAATTTTTCTCTCACAATTTTCCTGCATACTGGGTGCCCAGAAAAGGCAAAATAACATGTAATTTCAACACTGGCCATAAGGAGGCACATTACATTTTTTCCTCCCTTCATTTTGTATCTCGCCCTGCTGTAAAAAAAAAAAAAAAAAGGGGATGAAAGTGCAGGAAATAGACTCAGGCACGCACTTAAATTCACCTAAAGGGCAAAAGAGTTTGTGGATGGAAAAAAATGGAAAAATTCATTTTTAACAATTTGGGGGTTACAAACAGCAGAAATACAGGAAATTGACTCGAGGCATTAAATTCAACTTTAAAAACCCATCCTTTAAAGGGGTCGAATGACGATGCTAAAAAAGAACATTATTTTGTGTATTTGGTGTAATGAAATGTGTTTGTGGTTTAAGGTTCAAAAAACACATTATTTTCCACATACTGTACATTATTGTTTCTCCTCTATGCCCCGCCTTTCTGAAACGTGTCAATTTTTACGAAGCTCATCGTTCTGAAAGCGAGGTGTGCTGTGATTGGCCAGCTACCCAGTGCATTGTGATTGGCTGAATACCTCAAGCGTGTGACGGAAATGTTACACCCCTTACCATACTGTGATGCTGTGTCCCGGAGCGACGAGACAAAATCATTAAAACCCATTATAAACGAGGCATTTGTTGCATCCAGTAGGGACATAATTACGGATTATAATGACTTATACTGTCTTTTTATGCGTTGCGTATTGCACCACGAAAACATAAAACCATGTCTACATTTGTGATCGGAGAAATGACAAACAACAAGCCCTACTCTACACTGCTCAAAACTCGTGTTTGAATCATCAGTGGCAAATTCTTTAAATATGAAAACATACTTGCAGGCTGTGAGTCAGAACACAGACATTGTAGGCTACTCTCCCAGGTTCAGGAAACAGTCCAGTGTTCTGGAACAGTGTTGTAAATACAACTTAACCACTGATTTCTAGTTGTGTCCTCTTTTGGAAGGCTAAACAAAGTAGTTTCGCTTTTGCAACGAAACACACAGCGTCTGCACAACATGGTGGCGGCAGCAACAATACGTACAGCAAGAATAAAAGTTATGCCTTCTTTCTTTGCGTAAACATTTGGGCAGCGTTATGCAAATCTTCCCACATCGTGACGTAGACATGTGGGGGCGTGTTTAAACGAGGTGTTTTAGGAGGGCGTGGACCAGTCTTAACTTTTATAAAGAATATCTCTTTGGGTTTGAGATTTTAGTCTTTGTAACTTTAGGGATCTTATGTATTCACGAACAGCTTGTAACACTCCAAAGAGAAAGGAAAACTTGAAATCGCATCATATGACCCCTTTAAGGCTTCCATTCTAATGGGCTGATGGTTACAGAAGAACATGTTTAACTTAAGATATTTTCAGGTTTCCATCCAAAGTTGTGAATTTAACTTGGAATATCCCAGAAAACATTTGCGAATGAAGCACTTTTTCCATCCCATGTACTCAAGAGAACAAAATAGTCTCTTCCTGGGAAAGTATCAATAATAAAATGGGAAAGCCATTGTGGCTCTTTTTTTCCATCATAATAAATCAGTTGCACCTCAGAGCGCCCCAACGAAATGCAATAAATGCTTTCATGTCATCTTGCGAAGCCTGATGTTTGGGAACACAATCATGTAAGACAGTTATACCAAATCAATTTATAACAGACTTTGTCTCAGGCATTTCAGAATGACTAAAACAATATTTGAGATGGTGTAGGCTACAATGTGATTGGTCCACTGGTTAGTCCAGTTATCCAGTCTCATGATCTGTTGAGGCAAAATCACATCTTCAAGGAAGTTTTTATCGTAGTTTATGCACGTCTTCTTGTTTGAATGCACATCTTGCTATTTCCATCTAGTGTTTTTATGCAACATCCCACATTCCCATAAAAATACATGGATGAAAACCAAGTTCTGAAAAAATTTGGCAAATTGAATGATGTGGACTCAACAGCCGTGGAGTTGTTACATAGACCTGTAATTATAGAAAATTAATCAACATGCCAGTTAGACAATTGGAAATGAAGAATGCAGTGATCTTGAAGTATGTGACCGTAAAGATCTTCTTTACTGTTAGGAACACAAATCGAGTTTAGCAAGAATCTACATTTGCTTTCTGTTAGGATTTACTCATGCTAATGCTAACTTTCATTGTCTTTTTCTTGAACAGGCGATGCAAATGAAAGCGCTGAAGATGCATTTGTGCGTCGCGCTAAAGAGGGCATGGGCGGCGATGAGGCCCAGTTCAGCGTTGAGATGCCTTTGACTGGAAAAATGTACCTGTGGGCCGACAAATACCGCCCGCGCAAGCCCCGCTTCTTCAACCGTGTCCACACCGGCTTCGAGTGGAACAAATACAACCAGACACATTATGACTTTGACAACCCGCCACCCAAGATCGTCCAGGGCTACAAGTTCAACATCTTCTACCCCGATCTCATCGACAAGCGCTCGACTCCGCAGTACTTCCTCGAGCCCTGTCCTGACAACAAAGACTTTGGAATGTTGCGCTTCCACGCCGGACCACCGTACGAGGATATTGCGTTTAAGATCGTGAACCGTGAATGGGAATATTCCCATCGCCATGGTTTTCGCTGCCAGTTCGCCAATGGAATCTTTCAGCTGTGGTTCCACTTTAAGCGATACCGCTACAGACGATGAAGAGGATGAGGTTGAGTTGTATTAGCAAAGTGATGATTATCAGGAATCTTCAAATGCTGTAAAATTGGTGTAAATCTAGAAAAGGTAATACAAACTCGGTTTATTGATTCCATTCGTGTCTCCCGTTAGTGGAAGAAGAGGTTTTCAATGGGATAGATTTAGTTGAAAATCCTGTTTTGTACATTTTCTGGTTTGGAGGCACTTAGCTTGCATTTGATTCCTTTTTTTAAATCGTGTTTGTTGGTTGAGCTTGAAAAAAATGCTATTCTTGTAGTATTTGTTTTTGAGATGATACATTAAAGATTGCTTGCTTATTTTTAATTGTTTATAGTAATTTCTGCACATTTTTTTTAAGACTTATTTTTGGCGTTTTATGCCTTTTATTTAGATAGGACAATAGGTCGACAGGAAGCGAAATGGGTGAGAGAGAGGGGGGTGGGATCAGGAAAGGTCCATGAGCCGGGACTCGAACTCGGGACGCCCGAAGTGCAAAGGCGCTACATGTCGGCACGCTGCCCACGAGGCCATTGGCGCTGACTGTGCTAATTTTTAAAATATTTTACGTGACATTTAATTTGTTCATTGGAAAAAGACACTTAAAAAGACATTTTACAGCATTTTAGGTACAAAGATGGTATTACAGTTAAAATGAAATTTCTGCAGTACATTCTTAAAAAAAATAAAACGCATAACAAGCTGCATTAAACTTTCTAAGAGTCTAAAATGCAGTCTTACACTTATCTTGGCATCCTGAAGATACAGGAAGTTCATTCTTGTCCATGTAGAATTGCCTTAAAAGGCAACATACTTGGATTGAAACAACAACCACGGCAAGTTTTAACAAGACAGCATGTCTCACTTTTTACCCTTAAAACAGGAACACAGCCATTACAAATGTCCAGAGAAAGACTCTAAATAGTCTCTGCCTCACTTCAGGGCTCACTTCTTTTTTTTTTTTTTTTTTTTAATCCGTCCACCTGGAAACAAAATCACATTTACAAGATGCCGGGTTGATAAAATTATAACTTTTGAGCAAGAACTAATCACTGGTTTTGCTTGTGGCAAAAGTTTTTGTAGCAAGTGAACTATATATTCATAAGCAGAACTGTATTTTCGGCCCATTCACTCCCAAGGTCGGTAACTATAACCAAAGTTTTAATAATCATTCTAATTCTATGAGAAACGGAAGTCCACACCACACCTATAAGCATAATAACACAAGAATTATGTTGCCAATGAGAATCACCCCGAATGTAACGAGCGAGCCTTTAAAGTGACAATGTAACTGCATCACATGCTTATAATAAACAGAACATTAGCGTCTATTGGTGTGGACGCTAATGTGGTTATTATTGTTATAGTTATCGTTCTTGGTGTGAATGGGACTTTAGGCCTACTATTGCATCTATTTCACATGAACCACACATGATCAAACGGTCATTTCCTATAAGACTATAATGGGCCTTTCCTAATACCCACACTTGCAGTCTTTACATTGAACCAATTGCCTACTTTTCGCAATTGGTAAAGTCATTGTATCAGAATGAAGATGCTCCGGTTCACACAAAACTGTCAGTGTCCTGAGACTCGCGCTTAGCACATGCATTTTAACGTTACAATTTAACGCAATTTTAATGTATGAAACAGCATTTATGAGGCAGTTCATGTTAGAATTTTCAAATATTGCCAAGCAGTTCTTAAGATTTCACTATTTCCCCAATCAGGCAGACAGGAGTTGGTTTTGCATGACTGAAATAGCTGCCTGGTGGCATTGCAAATATGGCCACCAAGTGATTTGACTGTCATTGAAAAGTACTTTGGTGATCCTTGGCCAAATTAAGCTGCAATGTAGACAGACCTTATGCAGAAAAGTCCGATTCAGTGTCTTTTTTTTGTCCGTTGGACATGTTGACGTATGATGGTTGAGTGATGGCATTTGGAAGTGAATGTATAGATTCATCAAGGAGAAAAAGTTGGTCAAAACAGCGGTTTAGTCAAAAGTTAACAGCTGCAAAAGAGGAACCAGCACCAGTGGGCTTGGTCTGCATATAAATGGCGATTAGCCACATTAGCAAGTCTGTGCATAAAAACAATCTCAAATCTCAGATTCATCTTCTCTGTATTTCAGTGAGATCTGGCCTAAGGAACCAACAGTGGTTGAGAGTTGAGAGCTGGAAAACCTCTGGTCGTTCACATGGTTGTTGTTGCTGTTCAAGTTCTCCGTTGATGCTGGTTTATGTTCTGGAGGCTGGTTCTCATACAGACTTTGTTCGCACCTGTTCGCTGTGTCCTTTACCCTCCTGTGGCAAAACGGCAAAGGTAAATGCCCTTTGCACAGGTTCCAAATGACTAGCATAGCTAGAATTAGTGACAATACCACCACCATGGCCACAAGTGTGTTTTCTTTTTCCTTAACGTCATGTAGTAATGCTCCAGTCCCGGATGCTGACCACATTTTTAGATCATACGCTACATGCTGGGTTTTGTAATTCCGCTCTACAGAACTGCAGGTGTAGCGGCCGCTGGCGTCTGCGGAGGCGTTGAAGATCATCAGGCTGTCGGAGAGGATCTGGAAGGTGTTTGATGCTTTGATGGGTTGTCCATTCAGCTGCCACTGGACCTGAGCCAGGTTGGAATAAGGCTGGCACCACAGCTTCACAGTATTGTCGTGGAAAAATGAGACGCTGACTGACTTACTGTTATCTGTAACACAAGGTCTAGATGTAACTTTTAGTGTTTCTACCAGAACATACAGTATGACGACTTTGGGATATAATGCAAATACCTGTTTGTGGACATCGGCTGGCATCACCATCACTCAAACTCTGAATCACGGTGCTGTGGAAGAAATAATATTACAGCAATCAGCAATATGCCAATATCTATTTTCATAATGGTGCGCACAAACATCAAAAGTTTGCATACATTTTTTATGACAGTTAAACATTTTCCTGTGAAATTCCCATTACCATAAAGTGTGCAGATATGTTACTTTTGAGAATAAATTGAATTGCAAAAACATCAAATGATAATTCGGTAATACTTTAGTTGAGGGACCAATTCTCACGGTTAACTAGTTGCTTATTAGCATGCATATTACATTGGCTGTTTAGGGTTAGGGTAACACATTTTTACTTATAAAGCACATATTATTGCCTTATTTTGCATGACCATATTTTAGATCCCTTAATTCTACCCCATACCTAAACTTAACAAATACCTTACTAACTATTAATAAGCAGCAAATTAGGAGTTTATTGAGGCAAAAGACATAGTTTATGGTTAGTTAATAGTGAGAAGTGGTCCCCAAACTAAAGTGTGACCAGTAATTCTCACTGATTTATGATGTAAAGCTTAATACAATACAGACAATAAAGCAATAGACCATGATGTATTCATAATTTACTACTTGATATACTGTAAATAATAGATTTTTATTTTATTGCAGTAAAACAATGCAATTTTTTGCATGACAAATGAGTTTAATTCTCATTAAAATAATGTGGAAATGCAAATAATTTTAATTGTATTAAAATGATCAGGCTTAATTTTCTTCAAGCACGATATAATTTCTCTTGATTTTGAGGTTTAACATTTATTATTTTATTTTGTGTAAATATATTTATTTGTCTTTTCACCTGGTTCTGGTTCTGTGTGTGCCGTTTATGGCAGAGCACTGGTCAGCATTGAGGTCCCAGCCACAGTACGGATCCCTGGCCAGAACACAGTCCAGACACGTGTGGTACCGCCCACATTCACTGATGGACAGCTGAACCACGCCCACCTCCGAACCCACGTACAGCTGTTGTTGGCATGACATCACACATAACTTAACATAACATCTCTACAGACAATAGAGATTGCAATAATTTTGACTCTTGCTTCAGTTGAATGTATATTAAATATTCCTATAAAACTGCACAGTGGAGATACACTACTGCTAAAACGTTTGGGGTCAGTAAGATTTTTCTGAATTAATAGTTCTATTCTGCAAGGATGCATTAAATTGAATATGTTTTTTTATTACTTTCTGTATCCACGTTTCCATAGAAAATTAAGCAGCACACCTGTTTTCAACATTGATAATAATAAGAAATGTTTCTTGTGCATCAAATCAGCATATTAGAATGATTTCTGAAGGATCATGTGACACTGAAGACTGGTGTAATGATGCTGAAAATTCAGCTTTGCATCAAAAATTACATTTATAATAGAATACAAATAGAAAACAGTTACTTGAATGGTAATGTATACAGAAAATTAATGTTAACTGCTATGCAAACTCACACGGCTCATGCTGTTGCTAAGTGAGCAATAAACATCAATAAATGCATCTGCTTCTTACCTTGGTGTTGGAAAGTCGCAGTATCTTCACTGGCTCTGAGGGCTCAAATAGCTGAATCTCTTCCATAATGACCATCTCACCGTCATAATTCACAGCTTTCAGCACTGAGCCGCTCTCTGATACATAACAGACCGCAATACAATGCAGAAGACAACAATTTCAGTTAAACATACTTAGACAGCTGAAAATATTATATATACTTTTGGAGGGTTTACGAATTATAAACACTACAGATTTACATAAAGGCATCTTTACTTGTGCCGATGAACATGACTTGATGGCTGGCCCTGTTCAAGGCCATTGCTGTGGCCACCACAATTCTAGTGAAAGCGGTGCCTCTTTTCACCAGCAGGGGTTTCTCTCCACTGGCCTTGACGGCCTGGTCCATCAGAGGTTTGTCTTTAATAAACTGCAAGGTTTTGTCTGGGAGATCCAGAGATTTGGTGAAACCCATTTTTCTGGCATGATTATCAATGCACTGCAATTGAAAACAAAGTGAAGGTTAGTGAACTCTGGCAATCAGTATTATTGAACAAAGTGCTGAACAGAGTTACTGAACAGAAGACTCACTGTTCCGGGTCGGGGATCAGGGACATCACCCGAGTACACCAGCCACTTCACGAACGACTTCTCAACGGGAACAGGAGCCTTAAACTTGCCCTTTGAGAACACAGTCTGGATGTCTTCAATTTTGTATGCACATACCGCAGAGTACTGAGAAGAGTCTCTGTTGATCAAACACAATGTTTTTATAAATAATGAACTGTACAACATCGGCACTATTGTTAAACTGAAATCAACAATGAACTGTCTTAAGCTGAATAATGACACTTTTCTTTTAAAAGCTGCTTTACTGTAGAATTTGGATTTGTCTCATATATTTGAGGAAGTTTGTGTCATTGATTCTGCTTTTTTCCTGTTTGTTACTGTCTGTGAAGCTGCTTTGAAACAATCTGTATTGCATAAAGCGACATATATATAAATAAAGATGACTTGACACCATCAATTAAGTTCACTGGGAGAACATCAGATTTGTTTGAGGCAGTAAGCAATCAAGATGCTCAAGGACGCTCTGTTTAACAAAAAGATCGCAATTTTACAATTGTGGGGTGAAGACAGCATAAAACACGCAGGTGGTCCAGTCGCCGGGGCACAAGTGGAACACGTCCTGGACCAGAAGGTTGTTGTTTGGAATGGGACAGTCGAGCCTCGCTTTTAGAAATGAAGTCCACTTCCTCTGCAGCGTCCTCAGCCCACCCAAGTCACCCTGAGAGGGGAAAAAAAAAGAAATTTATAGACAGGAAATACTGAAATAAAGTTTCTTAATACGGCTCATTCACATAAATATTACTCCAAGGCAGTTTACCTTGCACACACGAGCTATTCGAGAGACGTCCACCTTGGTGTACGAGTCGTATTCCACTGCTGTCTCACTGAAGAACAGATAGATCTTGTCATCGTCCCCCTCAGGGTTTGATTCTCCTTCTCGTATATGGGCCATGTGGATAAAATGTGGTTCTTAAATGACAAAAAACCCACATATTTCAGTTACTATCACCTTCCTGTTCGTGTTAAGGCATTTTCAGCCACAACCACTGCTGTTTTTGTGTGTGTGTGTATTTTCGCACCATTCTCTGTAAATGACTGTTATCAGCAGACACTCAAACCACACTGTCTGGCACCAACAATCACTCCACAGTGAAAGTATGTTCGATTATACACTGTTGTATGTTGCCAACAGGCTGTTAATGACAATCGAACCGCTGTTATACATTGGCTTCTTGTCACATGATTGGTTGGTTAGATATTTGCATTAACAAGCATTTGAACTTCAATACCCGGGCTTGATTGGCTTGCTACGGTTAATCCCTTCAAGTAGATGGCATAAAAACCCCATTACGTGGGCATTTTATATTGCTAGTCAATGAAAAGTAGAATTCAAAATAAATTATTTTGCAAGCAACATATGATACATTGCATGGTAACTGGTAAAAAAAAAGCATTCAGGTGTTGAATGCACCAACCAAGAAAACGAATGGAAATGCTACAAAATAGTATATTAGTACTCCTCTAGTTACCTAAAAAGTCATTAAGTGCACAAAAAATAAATTAAAATAAAATAAAATTACAACTTTATTTTGGTCTTTGACAAAAAAAAAAAGTCACATTGGAAAACAATAGTTGACATTTTCTAAAGAAAATGTAGTGGTGTTTGCCTGTAAAAAATGGTTATGGCTTGTTGCAAGGGTACTAAGCTGAGTTTGCTAATATGTTCTGGCTGTTTTTGACCATACTGGGGTTGGAGGTTTGGCTAGGCGTCACCATTATTGTATCTCACCATTGAACCAGGTGTTCGAAAACTCTGTCCATATGGATTCCTCTGAGCTGCGCATCATAACCGGCTCTAAACCCCGGAAGTTCAACGAAGTTGCAGAGTACAGTACTCCATCTGCAAGAGAGAAAAAACAAGAGATTGATGATGTTGAAAACTACTGGCACTAAAGTAACACTCCATTATGTGTTATGGTAATACTTTTGAAACAGTGTGATTCAATATAACTATCAACACTGTAGCGTCTGGACTACTCCAACACACAATATATATTTTGTTAGCTAGCTTTCACAAATACTTTGTATTTCCAGTTATGCATTTGGCAGATGCTTTTATTTAAAGTGACACTGCAAGGTACACATGCACTTTTATTGTTTCTTGCTTTCCCTGGAACCCATGACCTTGGTGTTGTTAGTACCACACTCTGATCTATAAGAATAGAACTTTAACTGGCAACATTATAAATAAAGAGGCAGTACGTACCAACAATCTCTGATGTGTATCGCTGAGAAGGATCAAAGGGACATTTCCCCTTCCCATCTTCTTGTTTGCCCTCTAAAATCAGATTACCATCTGCATAGGACTAAGAGGATAACATGCAACAAACATAACATAAAACACTTTATACTGCACATTTTACATTTGTAGTCACTAATAATTAATGAGACTCACCATATAGTCACACGTTGGGATGAATGCTTTGGTTCCGCAAACATACATTCTGTCATCGTTTCTTTTATGAAGAATTCTGATATAATTTTTGCAATCATTCTAAAGAAAAAAGAAACAATGTGGCCAAGGGGAACTATTAAGTGATGTGACGTGATGTGAAAAAGTCCGACCAAGCAGAACCAAACGCTTCCGTTTCCTGCATGTTCCTAGAATCTTCATTTTCATTGGTATTGGCTTTTACTTAGTATTTGATTTATATCTGTTGATATCTGCTGTAATTATCAATATGAAGATGAATCACTTTCTTGCTTGTTGCTTTGGTTAGACAGTCTTAAATCATCCTTAAACATCTAGTTACCTTGATCTTTGTATAAAATATGAAATAGGAAATCCATGCAGATGACACATTTTCTATTAATGTAAAAAATATAAATTATCCCATGAAAAGAGTGCATTTCTTATTTTGAAAAGATCATTTTAAGTACATTTTGCTAAGATATTCCACATTTTACCAAATAATGTCTTAAAGCTTTAATAAACTGCATTCTGCCCACTCACGATAAAAACAGATATTAAAGAGCACAAAAGATGTGAAAACTCACCGCAGCATCTTTTCCCTTATTGGAACAGTCTTTTTGCTCCTTATTTGTGACTGGCCAATTCACCTGTGGCGAATAAATACAATTTACCATCATCTCTATATACAAAACAAAAAAGAAACATGCTGCAGTATAATATTTAATGGCTTATCAAACAAATTTAATCGCGGCATAAGAAGTTTATGTAAATATGCATTTAAGACCTCACCATGGCCTTTTTGACTGTAATGTCATCAAGGTCGAGGGCAAAAATGGCTTCCCTGGCACCCAGGATGAGCATGTTGAGATCTTCCCTCAGAAGCATAGTGGTGTAGTTCCAAACACCCTCCTCACGAAACAAACGTCCTCCATTACCTAGCAACAAAATGAAGACCACAGTCAAGGGCAGGAGTAGCTAACATTTGCCAAAAACGGACGTCACACACAGAACAACTAAACGTTGTTCGAAGAAAGAACTATGGACCTGTATCTCCTCTAAGCAATCAAAACACATTTAAAAATAAAATTAATTAATTAACGTTTACATAAATAAATCTAATGCTATTACCATGAAAATATTGGCCTGCAATGGAAAAAAATACTTATTTTGGTAGTAAAACCATAATATTTTTAAAGCAACTTACCTTTTAATTAAAGCACCTTGATATATGAAAAGGTAAATCAAACACCAAGCACCACGGTATACCATGGCTTTACTTTACTTTTTTTTTTTTTTTTACAAGACCACAGGAAGCAGTTGAGTCCTCTGCACAATGTGACTTTGCTGCAGCCTGGATTAAATAAAACTAAAACGTAATAAAAAAAACCTATATAGACATAATAAAAAACGAATAAAATGACAACATACTACAACTGTAACTAAAACTAAAATAGATAACTAATACAAATCAAACTACATTAGTTTATCAGTAATACTGCTTTAACACAAATTGTTTGCAGATGCCACCTTTTGATTTGATATTTTGTATCTAATGCACATAATCCAAACATTTTTAGGTGCCCAAATATTTTCTGAGACCACTTAACATCAAAGTACCAAAGTACATGGTATTTTGTAATGATGTCCAAACATAAGTCAACTTACTTCTAATTGCCACTGTTTTGCGAGGTATGGTATTCGGTGTCGATCCCAAGCCGCCGGTCAGAGTTGCTGGACTCCAGACGTACAACACGCACAGAACAGCCAGCAGAAACATCATACAGCACTCCAGTAAAAAACAAATCAGTCCGTGATTTTGGTCTAATGACTGCGAGTGCTAGATTCCTGTGTCGTCAGAGTTTCTCATTCTTGCCTTCTCCCTCACGCTTCAATACTGAGATATAGGACTTTAGCTGCAAAGAACGCTCTTCAGCAAAGAACCCTGTGAGGCCATCTGAAAGAGAGAGAGAGAGAGAGAGTGAACAGGCAGGGGTGCTGGCAGCAGTATTTCTGTCACTGCTATAGTGATGCTAATGCAGAGGATGAAAGCTTTTGCTCTAGGACCTTGACAGAGACACACGGTTCTGCTTTTCGAGCCACAGAAAGACACAAAGCCAGAATAGCTCAACAAAAAAAAAACCCACCACAAATTTTTCTTGGGGAGCTCATCAACAATAATAACAAACATTAAAATACATACAATATATAAATACATACACATACACAACTATCTATGTCCTATCAATTATAAGGAGTGAAATACAGATGCATAGACACCAGAGGAATTAAGAGCATGAACAATCCTACAATAAGTGCTGTTCAAAAAACGTGTAGACTTAGTTTTAATTGCTCTGAGGCGTCTGCCTGAAGGAAGAGGCGTAAAGAGGTGTCTGGCTGGATGTAAGGGATCTTTCAGGATTGTTAAACCTTTTTTCTGCAAAAGTGAAACATCGATCTCATCAATAGTGGGAAGATCACAACCAATAATTTTCGAAGCAACCCGAGTTATGTTACTAATCTGACTTCTCTGCTGAACTGTGGAGCTGCCAAACCACACTATAAGTGAGAAAGTCAGCACGCTTTCAACGACAGCTCTATAAAAATTTAACATACCAACTTTAGATACGCCAAACTTTTTAAGCTGTCTTAAGAAAAAAAGCCTTTGGTGAGATTTTTTAATAATGCCTCTTAGGTTGTCGTCCCACTTTAACGTTGCAGAGATAGTAGTCCCGAGAAACTTAAAACATTGAACATTTTCAATGTCCTGACCATTAATAGTCAATGGCAAAACAGCATTTGTCTTCCGTCTGAAATCAAACACCATTTCCTTTGTTTTTAGGACATTCACCTTCAAATTATGAGTACAATGTGTCTTACAAACCTCAAGAACAGTTTTCACAAGTGACGCGCGCAATCTGAAAAGTTAAAAAGTCTTTAAAAAGTAATCTCTCTTTCTGATCTTGTTAAAGATGACAGACTGATAACCCCCCCCCCCCCCAGGAAATATCTATTGTCTGAAAGCTGGTGTTACCTAACTGACATGATGGAGAAACAGGAAGAACAAACCCACCATCATTTTGCAACCTGCTTTTGCTAGGTGGTTGCTTACTAAAACAAAACCTCTGTGATATATACATGTGGCATGCAAGTCTATTTCCGTCCATTTAATTGTCTTCCAGACAAATACAATTTTTTCTGAGGTGCAGAAAGAATTATGTGCTTAAATTGATAACTTGCATGTACTGTACTTAATGAGAGGGAGGAAATGTAAATGCATGACAAGTTTTGGTTTTCAACCAGTCAACCAAACTCTATCCTGTCCTATTGAAACCAGTAACACTTTGTCAGTAAAAACAGAGCTGCTAATTTTGACAGAATGACTGTATTGCAACCAACATATGAATGCACCATCAATACACGGCCTTTGGAAGCCTCCAACATCTGGAAACACAAGTGCTCATTGGTGCATTTTACTATCTGATTGCAATGGCATGTGTTTACTACATTGCCGACTGAGAGCATGATTATGGCATGTTAAGAGAGATGAGCTGTAGCGTGAGCGTAGATATTATCAGATACCGCTCATATTTCACCACAACACGCACATGTACACACAAGCTTATTTTTAAATCATTGTGGGGACTTCCTACCCTACTAGCTGCTAATATAGGTCAATTATAATTACCAAAGCCTTACACACTACTAGCCCTAAATTACACATTTTGGGAGTTTTTTTTTAGACACAATACGAGTCAAACATTATTTAATCCCTTAAATGAATCATTTGATGTCTAAGGACACCCATATAAGTATTTTCAGAAACTGTGCAGGTTAGCTCAGTCTGCCCTCAAACAGGTTTCTTACTTCAAAACACCATGAAAGGCATTGTGAGAATATGTACATACACACACACACACACAAAATCTTATGATTTTTATCCAAATCATATACTTATACAATGTAGTTTATCACTTTGACAAGTTGAAGGGTGATTTTTGTGCCACTATGTCAGAAAAAAGTGACTGTAATTCTGAATAGCATACTAGAAGTACCACAAATAACAGTAGTATGCTAGTGGTTTATCCTGAATGCCAGAATGAGTCCTAAAATCCAGAAACAAAATGTGACTTTTTATTTTTATTTTTTAAACTTCCAGTTCCATCGTCTCACAAGTCAGTGTTGTTGTTGTTGTTTTTAATTTTTTATAAATAACATAAGCTGAAGATAATTTCACGTTTTATTCTACAACATAAAATACAACATTAATACTCGCTTGTGATTTTATTTTAAGCTTTTATGTGTCTTGAAAAAGGTGGCTGCTGGCGAGTGGCTAAATGGAACTGCAGAGGTTGTCGGGACTTTAAATGTAATTATGTAAACTCATCTACTTCATCAAACTAGTCCACTTTTACAGCCTCTTTTTGTTCAGAATTGTGCTTTTGCAAACTATCCTAGCTCAAACTTTACAACTTATCTTTTTACTTATACCAACTACAATTAGGCTTGGCGATAAAAGTTGTGCTCATTTATGGAGATTATCTTGATAAAACTAAATGTTTAAGAATCATAAACTTTCATTGGTCACAGAACTTATTGTTCTTAGTGGCAAACCATATAACCATGCTATTTCAATTCAAATATAGCATTTTTGGACAATACATGATGGTAATCTTTGTTATTTACAGTGTTGTTAACATTATTTAATGTTAACTAAAACTATAAAATAACATTTAAATATTAGATGAAAAACATTTTAATTTAAATGAAAATTTAAAAAATGTTGCATTGACAACTAACTGAAAATAAGTTAAGCATTAAATTACTAAACCAGAAACTGAAATAAACTAATAATGGCAAAAGCACATTACTACTTAAACTTCAATTAAAACTACATTTGAAAGAATAATAATGACATCTAATTCAAAATTAAAAAAATGCTATGATAGCATATACATAATACTTGAATAACATAAGCAGACAGCATAAGGACATCACAAACAATACCAAAATCAAATTTTCAATCAGTGATGTATAAGTCAACAAGTTAAACTAATGCATTAAAAGAAAAGTGTGTGATCAGTGAACGCCTCTGTAAACCTCACACAAATCAGCTGTTACAGTGTGCATTTCAGTACTGTTCTCAGTTCCTCTGAAAATAAAATTGTAAATGCAGCAATGGCTGAAAATGTGGGTCAGCAGCAACTCACCATGCAACCAAATTCTGTTAGCCTCTCAGTTCTCCTGTGCTCGCATGAGTGGTTCCTCTTCACACACACACACACACACACACACACACACACACACACACACACACACACACACACACACAAAAGAACAAAAGCGACTAATGCATTAAAAGAAAAGTGTGTGATCAGTGAACGCCTCTGTAAACCTCACACAAATCAGCTGTTACAGTGTGCATTTCAGTACTGTTCTCAGTTCCTCTGAAAATAAAATTGTAAATGCAGCAATGGCTGAAAATGTGGGTCAGCAGCAACTCACCATGCAACCAAATTCTGTTAGCCTCTCAGTTCTCCTGTGCTCGCATGAGTGGATCCTCTTCAAACACACACACATATATGCAGTGCAAAACAAATCAAAAGTGGTCTAAGTCTCAAAGGCAGCAGAGTGTGTTGAGAGTCGTGGCTCTGCAGTGAATGGATCTCATCGTGCCTTCTGCTTTGTGTGAGAGAGCATTGAACTGCTCAGATCCTGCAGTGTGAAGTCAAAGAAATTCTTCTACTGAAGAGAAAAAGCATGCTTTTAGAAGTTCCTCAATCTCAAACAAGTCACTACAAGTGTCAGCAAGAGTGTGTGTTGTAGAAAGAGGAGTGTAGGAGAGGCTGTAGACCTATTGTGTTTCTGATCTGATTTTCAAGAAAACCAAGTTTAGTGCTGCAGCTGTAGTAAACAAACGATATTAATCTCTTGATTTCCTTTGTTACAACATTTTCAAAACACATTTTGCACTGACATTGAAGAAGAAAAAAAAAAGATTTAAGGGTGTTCTCACCTCAGCGTCTTTGCTCATTGCAGTTTCTGCTTCCATCCAAACTTGTTTTTATGTTCATTATGATATAAATTGTTCCTTTTTTTTTTTTTTTTTTGCACATTCAAGTTATCTGGATGAACTTGCTCATTTTACGGATGAATCAACAGCATGGATCAAGGCTGAATGAATCACTGCAAAATGTTGTTTTTATTTTGCAAATCTATGTTGATATTGCAATGTTGTTTCAACATGGGTGAATTAAACTTTAACACTGATTTTGTAACTTTTTTTTTTACATGCATTTACCATTAAACAGCCTGAAAAACAATTATTGTCATTATTAACCACATTTCAACGTTGAAGGCTGGTCAACAGCCGGCTAGGTACAGGCATTTTCAACATTAAATATAGACTTTGTTTAATGAAGCATTTCTCATCAATACCAGTTGAAATAAACCATTATCCGTGTATTACCAGTTGTTTTACAGGAATGAACGGTAAAAGTTGAAGTTTATTGACGCCCCCTGGTGGTCCTCCAGGATTCAGATTCGCCTCTCCTGAAGAGATTTATTTTGCGATAAACCCCTTGTGATATATTTATTTGGTCAAATAACCGGATATTTACAGAATAAATAAATAGTTTAAAGTATTTTATGTTTTACTTGTATATTAGCTAAGCTTCCTCTAAAACAGTCCATTATAAAATACAAACATTCGTCCCAGCAAAAACGAAGAGTCCCTTCTTCTGAGAAATGCTTTTTCCCCCCCTACTTTAACTCTCCTGCAATTCTAGTCAATCATCAAAATGTAATGTTATATGCTCACCACAAAAAGAATATCTCCGGGTCCTACTGTTAGTAACGTTTTCAGTCGCAATCAGTCGTTTTCAGAGGCGGCAATGAGAACGAGCTGCTAGCATGAAAACAGGGCCGCAGACAGCGATCAGACGCAGTTCACAACATGAAAAACTAGAACAGTGGGTGAATTCTTCAAAACCTTCCCTTTAATTCCCATAAATATCACAGTTCTAAATAACAAAACATTTTAACATCACATGACATATCTACAAAGTCACAGTAGCACCATGCATGTTCATAAAACTGATAATGACAGTCGGTCAATCAGCAACACAAATGCAACCGTCTCACAACCCATCAACCTAAACCCTTACAAATCTGACAAAGTCTCACCTATAAAAGGCTGAATTGTGCTTTATATTAAAATACCATTTTTTATGAGCGCAAAACCTGCTTCATAAACTTGGACGTTTCTCTTGCAAAATTGCAAATGTGTCCAAAAGCATCATTCAAATTTCGAAACAACAGATCTACTGAAACACTATGAAGCAGGGTCAAAAATTTACTTTCTGCCACACCTCTCTCAATTTATGGCCACAAATATTTCCTAATGGCCATAAACGGCTTTATTTCTTTTGAGGAATATATATATATATGTGTGTGTGTGTGTGTGTGTGTGTGTATGTGTGTGTTCCAGTCATGACAGTCGTTTTCCTTTCCTGCTGAAACCCCCCCTGCCCCCCACCCCCCCAGCTAAAACCAGCCTAAGCTGGTTGGCTGGCTTTAGCAGGTCTTCCAGCCTTGTAATAGCTGCTTTGCAGGCTGGTTTTAGAGGTGTTTTGATCTCTTCTTTAGCTGGTCAGGCTGGGAGACCAGCTAAGACCAGCCAACCAGTTTATGCTGGTTTTAGCAGTTTTTTTTTCTTTCCCAGCAGGGTTAGATGGTTTGTCTTTACAGCATGTCACTTTCGGCAGTGAGGGTCAGTCTTACAATTCAATTTAAATTATATATTAAGTTCACATTCCTAATAAAGTTACTGTTTTTATTTGCATTCCTGTAGATCAAACAGCAGTGTATGGCACTAGCAAAGCCAAAGTCATGGGTTCGATTCTCAGGAAACGCACTGACTGATTAAAATACAACCCAAGTCACTTTGGATAAAAGTGTCTGCAAAATGTATTTGCTTTTTATTAACCCAATTTATATGCACATTTGGTGCTTGGGTAGTGTTCATTTTGGACCCAACCTTGAACAATACCAGATTCACATTCATCTGAGCTTATAGATCAATTCTCTCCAGTTCACAAGTTAGTGTTTGATTAAAACCAGTCATAAAAGTCCTTCATTTTAAGACAAGTTTGTTGTGCTTCTTTCTTAAATGTGTGGAAATGTGCTCTCGACTCATGGTTTTGTCAGTCTAAACCGGAGTGTTGAGGTCTAATAATCAATAGAACAGAGAGAGTAAGAGGTATCGAGAATCTTGGCTCAGATTTTTCCCATTTAAATTACAGTAATCTCAACGGAAACGGCCTCATTCTGTGACAGCATTATTATGAGGCAGGATAAGCTGGGGGACCTCGGCTCTCGTGTAATTGATAAAGCCAAATAAAGTGGCATTGTTTAAGTCACACTGAGGGAAGAATGTCGATTACAGGGAGTCCTTGTCCATTCAACAGGAAATCTGTCTTATTCATCTGAGCTTATAGATCAATTCTCTCCAGTTCACAAGTTAGTGTTTGAGACAAGTCCTTCATTTTAAGACAAGTTTGTTGTGCTTCTTTCTTAAATGTGTGGAAATGTGCTCTCGACTCATGGTTTTGTCAGTCTAAACCTGAGTGTTGAGGTCTAATAATCAATAGAACAGAGAGAGTAAGAGGTATCGAGAATCTTGGCTCAGATCTTTCCCATTTAAATTACAGTAATCTCAACGGAAACGGCCTCATTCTGTGACAGCATTATTATGAGGCAGGATAAGCTGGGGGACCTCGGCTCTCGTGTAATTGATAAAGCCAAATAAAGTGGCATTGTTTAAGTCACACTGAGGGAAGAATGTCGATTACAGGGAGTCCTTGTCCATTCAACAGGAAATCTGTCTTTATTGGAAGGCACTGGAAGGAGACGACGAAGGGTGGGCAGAAACGTGGAGGAGATCACTCTTGATTGGTCCGTCTCTTCTCCAGCTTCTGTTTGAGCTCGTCTGTAAGGCCTGATGGCAAGAAAACTTCCTAGTCATATTTTAAATATACAGTCATATTTTCACCCTCATGTTCGGTTTATATTGATTTTACTTTCTGTATGTTTGGGGTCCCTTATACAAAAGTGCATATCGGAAAACAATATACACTACTGTTCAAAGTTTGAGTTCTATAAGATTTAATAAACGCTTTTCAAAAGAAGTGTCTTATGCTCATCAAGGCTACATTTACTTGATCATTTTTTTGTTAAAACAGTAATATTGTGAAATATTGTAACTATTTAAAATAACAGTCTTCTATTTGAATATATTTGAATATGTCATTTATTCCTGTGATGCAAAGCTGAATTTTCAGCATAAATTACTCCAGTCTTCAGTGTCACGTGATCCTTCAGAAATCATTCTAATATGCTGATTTGGTGCCCAAGAAACATTTATTAAGGTGGAAACGGTAATTAATAATTTTTTTCACAATTCTTTGATGAATAGAAAGTTCAAAAGAACGGCATTTACTTGAAATAGAAATCTTTTGTAATGTTATGATTGTCTTTACGGTCACTTTTGAGCAATTTAATGCATCCTTGCTGAAAAAAAAATAACAATTTTATAATTATTGTTATTATATTATTTATTTATACAATTTAAAATATATTATTCAATTATATTTGTCCTTCCAGGATTTTCATATTATTGATATTCTTTCTTGCTGTTTGAGTCAATATGTTGGAAAACACAATAACCCCCTAAAATGCTATCAATTGAAATTTTATGATAAACAGTTTTGGAGCTGTTGAAAAAAGATGCCCTTGGGGCCTTACTCTGAGAGAGCGGTGAGGGAGACAGAACCAGCCTTCTCATGGAGTTGGATGGGGAGCCAGGCGGGGAAAAGGATCTTGGTGAGGAACTGGGAGATCTCGTCTGTGACCGCAGCGACCATCTGTCTGTACCTACTGAACACACAACACATACAAACTCACTCACTTAGTCAAGAGAATCTGAGGTGAACATAGACAAACTGTACTGTATATTGATCTGGATTAAAAGCATTCACTAGTACACATTGACGTCTAAGTATGTGCAGCCCTACATTTAGTGTTCACAGACAGCCAGCATTTTCTCAAACTTCTCACAGGGTTGTGCAATTCCTACAAGCCACAAATTGCTCAAACACACAGATTGAGACTTGTTTCATACTTTTGCAACAAGAGTCACTACAGCATTCAAGTGCAACTGTCCCTGCATGTTGTTTGGCAGAAGCATTGAAACTGACATAACAGACCATTCATTATAAAAGTCACAATTGTGCAAAAAAAACAAAACAACCTTTGACCATTTAGTTGGCAGCTCTTGTGCCATTTTAATCATATGAAGCTGCAGCAATCGCAATATATGAACAAATGGCAGCAGATGTAGTTGTGTGAAGCTGTGGAGCATGATATGATACCTTGTTTAGGCGGCAGTGATGGAGCGCGAGAAAGAGGTCCAGTGGGAGCACAGTGCAGGGTTCGCTCTCCATTCTCATCGTTGGATGACACAAATGCTACAAGAAAAGGAAATTTGAACACTGAATTTAGAATGTGTTATTTTATGGCCAAACTCAACATTGTAGATGTACAGACTTGTGAGCATATACGTGTGTGAGCGTGTTTGTGACATACTGATGTTCTCCTCATAAGGCTCTTCTAATAAAAAGGGCTGAAGAGTCCCGGCAGTTTTCTCCACCAGTGCAGTGATGACATCATGCAGTGTGGGACAGGGGATCTGCAGGAAGAGACCAAAAATAAGAGGAGTGAGATTTCCCCAAGGCTGATTTTCACACAGATTCCCTTTATTAAGAAAGTCATTTTCACATACTGGGTTTTCCACGTCGATGATGTAACTACCCTGCTGCTTCTGTGTCACTCTGTAATGCCTGAACACTGATCTGAAACAGAAAAAAGAGACTAATAATACATAAAAAACAACAACACAATGACTCTATTCTGCAATGTTGTTATTGTTAACTAACTAAAACTATTATCCCCCCCCCCCGTTATTTGAAATAAAATAAAATCTAAATAGTCAAAATACACGTCCTTATCCACAATAAGGACAAAATATTAATTTTTTCCCATTTAAGTACTAAAATGACTAAAACTGAAATTAAAATAAAGCTAAATAGAAATATTGTGTAAAAACAAACTAAATGAGCACATTACAAAATTACTCAAATTAAAAGGAAAACCGAAATATAAAAATAAAAGCCAATGAAAAATATTATAAAATACTATAATAGTATATAAATAACACCAAAGTAACACTGATTCAGTGAAATTAAGTGGAAATCCAGTAACAATGACGAGGAAAATTCAGTCACTTCTATTCATTTGATCATAATGAAATCCAGCAGTTATGTCGTTATGATAATTTATGAAGTCATAATGAAATCCAGTGATGATATCACAACAGGCACTAATGATTTCATAATGAATTGGTCTAAAGAATACATTGCACAAAGCTCAGTGGAAGACAATTCAAGATGGCAGATCAGTTCAAATGAAATGTCAACTATACTGTATCTAGCGTAGCATTAGTTCTGGCAGGTCACGTTAGTCAAGCTCGCATCAGCTGACTCTCAGCTGATCCCCATCAACCTATGGGAATACGACACCTATCTAAGCATTCATATATAAGGTCCCTCGGTATTATCAGCAGTTTTCGCATTGCTCAATAGCTAATTACCCTCCTCCATCCCCAGCTCCTCCTCTGTCAGTCAGGATTCAGCCTTCTGATTCTCCTTTGAATCAGACTAATTCTAAAATGTGTACATAACATTATTGAACTTTAACGATATCTGCAATACATTTATGTTGGTTCTGTTCCGTTTACCCTGGGGGGGGCTATTGCTGCTCTCCCTGCTCTCATCCATGCTAGGCTGCATGGATGCGCAGGGAGTTCTTGCCCAGAACAGAACCATACTGCCAATCCAAACTGTATGCTAATTGTCAATAATCTTTGACGATAGTAGTCCTGACAGAAATATGCTTTGTATATTTTATGTTCTACTGGAATTAATTGGTGTCCAGACTCATGTGCACTATATTTCATGAACATTATTTGTTTAGTGTTCAGAGTTTAGGGGTGTAACGGTACATGTATCGTGTACCAAACGGTTCACAGGCAAATTCCAAATGGAAGTGATCATCCCTATCCCCTTGGAGAGGGGACTTTTGGAGTGAGCAGGGCACATGCGTGCCATTGTGTAGTTGTTTGGAATGCACTTGGCAAAGGGAGTGATGTAATTTCTTAATTATCTTTATCCATTTGGAATTTGCCCGTGAACCGTTCGGTACCGATACTCCTACCGGCACACCCCTATCAGAGTTGCTATCTATTAAGAACAACTAATTAGTCACTAATGAGGTTTTATGTGGTTTAGGATGCTGTCTTAGTAGTCAGCTGCATATGACAGCAAGACAGCTTACTAGATTTTAGAACAGAGCCAAAGTGTATTTTTGGAGGTTAATGCTCTCACTGATAAATTAAAATAGAAATAAATCATACTGAGAGAGAGACAGAGACGTGTCAGTGTTTTTACCCATTCAGGTCTTGTCGTGTGGTGACGGCGAGTGAAGATCCATCTCGGCCTGGTCTGAGAAGCATGTTCCCACAGTCTGGATGTCTTTCTAACAGCACCTCAGCTTCAGTACGAGACACAGGCCTGAAACACCTGCCAAATAACACAGAAGCACAACTACATTAACATTTGTCTCAAGTATCCACTAAGAGTGCGATTATTCACATCAGTTAAGTATGCAGAAGATTTTGGTAAAGAAAGCCTACAAATGACAAGGATGATCTACAAATAGAGGTCAAAATAAAATAAAATGATCTAATCCCAGCCAAACACAGTTTTTAAGTATTGAGAAGTGATACCTTAGTAAGCAGTGTCATTTTAACAAGAACGTGGCAAAACATGACAATAGTAGCATATACAGTCTGTCAATAGATTTTAAAGTTCAACCCCAGTGCATATACCTCATAAAACATACATCTTTGGAAAAAAAATCCAAGTGAAGATAGGATCTCTAAAACATCACATATATTGGCTCAATTTAGTAGTTCTGTGAACTGACATATGAAATTAGTTTTACATTGTCTTTTTATTGCTGGGTAGGACACAATGTAAATCCATGAAATTTTGCGTCTGTTTTATCAGGCTGGCAAAAAGTACCAGCCCTACTTCTATAAGAGCAATATTAACAGTGATGTTTTAGCTATGCATAAACACTCAGACAGTCAAGAATGTCATCTATGAATCTTCTCCCCCAAACCCACTCGCTCAAATAAACAGATACTCACGCAGGTATTTCCCCCACCAGCGGGAGCGAGAGGGGGGACGAGGGGGCTCTGGAAGACACGCGTGCCTGTCGACGCATTTTTTCTTTCTCCACGACTTCTTTCAGCATGTGCAGCTGGCCGGGCAGGAGGGTGAGAGTCGTGGGCACAGCCAGCTGGAATCAAATCCAAAGCATATGTCATCCTAATCTGCACGGTTAAATATACAGTCCATAGTGACGCTTTATGCATGGGGACTCTGATCTCTTTATCTATGAAAACAAGTGAGCAGAATCTCTAAAGCAGTGTGTGGGAGGCGTTTTGGTGGTGTTGAACTAGAGCCAGTGGATATGATGCTGATAAATAGTTTTTATAACACCTGGTCATGTTTTATGATGGATGGAAAATCGACTTTATTATACATCTAAAGTCCAACAAAAACATTCATATAAACTGGTTTAAGTATAAAAAAGATAACATAAGTTCAAAATGTAACTTCTTGAGAAATCTGAAAAAACACATTCACAAACCAAAGCATATGTCATCCTAATCTGCACGGTTAAATATACAGTCCATAGTGACGCTTTATGCATGGGGACTCTGATCTCTTTATCTATGAAAACAAGTGAGCAGAATCTCTAAAGCAGTGTGTGGGAGGCGTTTTGGTGGTGTTGAACTAGAGCCAGTGGATATGATGCTGATAAATAGTTTTTATAACACCTCTATGTGTTTTATGATGGATGGAAAATCGACTTTATTATACATCTAAAGTCCAACAAAAACATTCATATAAACTGGTTTAAGTATAAAAAAGATAACATAAGTTCAAAATGTAACTTCTTGAGAAATCTGAAAAAACACATTCACAAAACTAGATTTAACAAAGTCTACAACAGTCTAAAAAATGAGCATAAAATAAAAAACAACTAATCTAAAATAGCCCATTATAATCCCACTACCCGTTTTCCCGAAAAGCTTTTGTTACATTCATACCAAATCCTTCCTAAACCAAAAGAAACAAAGGTATCTGTTGCATTGTTCAAACATGGTCATAAAACGCAAACCCTGCAGTTCAAAGGTCTGAGATCTCATTAACAAACTCAGAACAGCAGTATTATTCAAGACTATGTGCTAAAAAGAATAAGTCTGACCGGAATTTGTTGTTCTGCAGGAGAAGCTGTAAGTGTTTATTGACATACAAAACTTGACCTGCTTCTAGTGTGCAATAACAAAACACTAGCGCATTTAAACTAGCATTATGACCATTTATGTAAGGGCATAAACTCATCTGTGAGACTAACGAATATATGTCAACTTCTGTTAAAAAACATTTCCTCATTTGATTGAACGTACATCTACGACAGAGTAGAGAAAACCTTTCCACAGCTCACGCGCCTCCAGATTTGGAGCCTGAGAAGAAAGAGAGAGACATTGACATTAATTATATTATAATTAATAACTATAACTCAATGCAATATGTCCTTACACTACTGCACTGCATTAGAGACATGCAATATCTCACAGTCAGTTAGATCTCCATTCACATTTATTGATTTAATCAATAGTTTTATTCAGCAAGGATGCATTAAATTGATCAAAAGTGACAGTTTTGAGTTGGTAATCTTTATATAATTAATCACTCTAGTAGACCTCTGATCGGCCCTAATTCTGAATGCATAATCAACAGCTGATAGTGATCCTACACTGTACAGTAAGTGCTGTTTAGTCTTGACCTGACCATAATATGACCTAGAGCTGTGTGGAAGTGTTATAACTGGCATCAGATGTGGTGAGCACAAACATGAGTAAAATAGTGGCCTGTGAAAGCGAAACTCTCTAGAGTGTGCCAAAGGTAAATTCCATATGGAGATGTTTGTGAAGACTGAAAGACCCACATTTGCTCATATATAGTGAGTGAAGGTTGAGATGTGCAGTGTGTCTGACCAAGCATTCAAACTGGAGCTTATCGTTTTAAGAAAACTTTTGCCATTCAGTGTGCAGTACACATCAGATGGTTTGTGTGTGCGAGACTGAGTTTAAGTGCATGAGAGGAATGAGATGCATGCATACTGATACTCACAGTGAGTTTGATTTCTCCATCCTTCATGCGGAGATTCAGTCTGGCTGCCTCCAGATTTCGATCACGACTTGGGTCATCGATCAGAGACACAAACCCACTCAGATCCAACTTCTCTACATACTAATCAGAAAACACACATATGAAGAGAGACATTTAAAGGAACAGTTTACCCAAAAATGCCTTTCCAACCCTGACTGATTTCTGTGAAACACACAAAAAATAAAGATTTTCTAATGTCTATCATTTAATTTTTTTAATAATAATAAATTATATTAATAAATATTTATAAAAACAAATTAAATTTGAATAATAATAATACAAATGGTAATATAGTTTTGTATTATTTAAATAAAATTTTTTACAAATTATGTATTATATTATTAATAGCAGTTTACAGAACACAGTAAAATTACAATACTAATATGTATGGCTGTCTTAATTTCTTTGCTTATAAATGTTAAAGGGGTCATATGACGCGATTTCAATTTTTCCTTTCTCTTTGGAGTGTTACAAGCTCTTGGTGCATAAAGAAGATCTCTAAAGTTGCAAAGACTAAAGTCTCAAATCCAAAGAGATATTCTTTATAAAAGTTAAGAGTCAACCACGCCTACCTAAAATGGCTCGTTCTAACACGCCCCCACATGTCTACGTCACGATGTGGGAAGATTTGCATAACGCCGCCCAAATGTTCA